TTTAAGATTTGGGAGATTTCACATAGAAATCCTGGTTTCTGGTGTTTCTTGAGAAGTTGAGTGTGACAGTCTTTACCTCTGTTTCCTGCTTGGAGTATTCAGCTTGGTTTTAGACAGAACCGGTGTTTCTCAGTTTTGCACAGTCCGGCCAGTCAGCTTCTCTCAATTTTAGCACCTGCTGGCCACCCGTAGGGCCTGTGCTCTTTGACTCTGTTTTACGTTACAGAATGTGGCTGTGAATCGAGCTGTTATAATCAGTCTTTTCATACTGTTTTCCTAAAAAAAAAAAAAAAAGAAAGAAACAAAAAACCAAAATCAAAACCCTTATAAGTATTAATTTTTGCATGTTTGTGGTATTTATCAACCCTAATATAAATAAATTATTCTAACAAGTGGATATATTTAGTCATTCGTCCCTACTTGAACACTTACATTTTTTTGGATGTGGTATATTTGGGCATATGTAATGCCATCTCCTTTACTTTTTAAGGTCTAATGTAAATTCTGAATGTGTTTATGTATTCTTATAATTGCTAGCTTTTTAGAAAGTTTGTTTCTTTGGAAAGAATTTGGCATTTGAAAGTTATGACATTAAACTTAAATCAAGAATTTATAGCTTAATGCTCTGATACTGGGTCTTTTTTTTCCTGATAGACTACTTTGTCAGTAATGAGTTATTTTTTGTAGAATAAAATTAAAAATAAATTATGCTTGACTGTTTAGGTGATTAGGAATTTTAGCATTTCACTTTTTTCTTTTTTTTAGTATTCTTTGTTCATATGTTTAACTATCTTACCTCTTGATATTTTCCTGATAATTTTTAATTCTTCTATTAGAATATGTTCTTATTTTGAATTTAAGGTTATACTGTGATGTTGTTATATTTCCAAACTATATAAGAGTTAGTATTCTTTGATCATAGAAGAATATCTTTGTGTAGGAGACTAGTTTCATATTTGTCTGAAGTTAAGACATCAGTGTTTAGTGCATTCTTAAGATTTTATTATTATCATTTTGGTACACTTTCTCCCTCTGCTGTCAATAAATCTACAAACCATAGTTCTAATCTGCATTACCTATCTTTAACTGAAATGTACAAACTTGAAATTTAAATCAGTTCTTATAATCCACTTCCTGTTTAAGAATAAGTTATGCAATGAGAAGTAGTTATGTATTAACATTAGCAGGACTTTGGTGGCCAGTCTACTTGGAGCTCTACGCAATCTGGCTTTAGGATCCAAATCTCTTTTGTTTTGGCTACAGTTTGGTGCCACTTGGTGGTGGTTGTCTTTTTTTGCAAATACTGATGGGGAAGATTGTGGGTTCTGTGCATGACTCAGTCTTCTAGGACAATGGCAAGGATTGTAGGAATTTTCCAGTTAGCTAGTGTCCATTTTGTTGGACTGATTCAGGGAGAAATCAGGCCTACATAATTTTGGGGACTCAGGGATCACCTTCCCTGAAACAGGTGTTTCTGACCCCTTCACCTTTCCTTTCCCGCCACAAAAGAGAGGGGAGATTCTGCAGAACATGTAAACCAAGTGCCAATTGCATTTTAGCTAAATTCCAGCCAGGTGGGTTTTTTTTAAAAAAAAAAATTCTGCTTCTTGTATAATCTTTGTCTACTCATATCTTTATCATTTCTAACATGCTACTATCATGTATACAGAATTATTTACTTCAGGGTTAAATAGTGAATCCATACCATAGACATTCAAGATTTTTTATTATTTTTTTTAAACTCTTAGAATTGTGGCTGTAGTCTACATGGTTATTTTCTAAAACTCAGACTCTGATAAATACTGATTTTTGTCTTGTTATGTATTGATATTTTTTTGTATGCAAAATATAGAATGTTTTTATTTTAAGAATTTTTTATCATTTTATACTTTTTTCATTTAAAACTTATTTTGAAGAAAGTTGTGCATTGGCGTTTAATAATGAATTTTGGTCAAACTTCTCTTTTATGATTTCAGGACAAAAATTGCCCAAGATATTGAGAGACTAATACATCAGAGTGATATCATAGATCGAGTGGTATATGACTTAGATAACCCAAAGTAAGTCTCATTTTTAAAAACTTTTATTAGTTTTATTTTTACTGTAAAATTTCAGCATTATTTTGAAAAGATAAAAAATTGTAGTTAACTTCCACCTAGTTTCTCCTCACTATATTGTGATCTTTTGGCAGGGATATAATGGTAATGGTAGATCACATTTATTTACTTTAATTAAATATACGACACACGTTTGTTTGTTTTTAGGTGGGTTTTTAATGGGTTTGAGATAAAGGTTACAAACTGATGCTGTGTTTTTAAAAAACCAAAATTACTTCCACTTAAGAGAGTGGACTTTTCACATGCTGGCTTGTCCTGCAATATTGAGCCTTTATATCCTTAGGCCAACAGATTGTCATCCCTTTAGAAGGAGCATGTGTTAATTCTCTACAGTCTCCACCACTCCCTCTTGTCTCTTACTGCTTACAGTCTGCTTCAGTCATTTAACTTACCTGCCTGATTTCTGAAGCCATTTGTTTGTGATCCTTGGTGTGTTAGTCACTTACTATTTAGGATTATCACTGATATCATTACATGTTAGGTTTTAAATATAAGTAAATAAATGAAAGTTATATATATTGAGTGTGACTATTTAGTTATCTGCTTTCTCAAATGAGAAATTCAATTATCCCTGTTTGGGTTTCTCCTCTCCCCCAACATTGTGATATTTTTGGGGAAATTTGACATTTTACTGATATTTGGAGGATATAAAATACTTTTTGAAGGCTTTGTTAGAGAGATGAGTAAAAACTGTAACAAAGCTAATGACTGAATTTGAAATAATATTCTTATAAAAGGGAAGAAACATCTACCTTATTTATTATCTTAGTTATTTTAACATTTATAATTCTTTGTCTGATAAAACAGGCAAAAGTGGTAAAAGCAGAAACTTAAGAACCCTAAGTGTGGCATACCAGTGCTATTTCTAACTGAAATGACTTTAGACAAAATCATTGAGCTTCTGGGAGCCTTAGTTTTCTGCTATTGGAATATAATTTCCCAAAGAGCAAGAATTTGTATTCAGTGAGGGAACCAAACAGATAAATAACTAAAACAGTTATCTGGTACCTAGTAGGTGCTGGATATTTACTTACTAAAATAATGAATATATAAAATGAGGATAATACTTACTCCTTTTTGATGCTAATTAAATAAGATAATAGATAATGTGGCTCTCTAAATTGAAAATAATATATTTGCCTGAGAACTGCATGGTTTAGTATAATAGAATTATTGCTATTCAGTACAGGTCATATGCTGTTGTAAAAAAGTCTGTTTTTTTCTATATGATATTATTTTGGAGATGCTATCAGTGAGGCAAAAGTTCTTATTAATATATCAGTATAAACATAGGAACAAGTCTCTAATTGTAATTACAATTTTTTTTGTCTATAAATGTTAGCCAGATTTTGTCCTTTGCTTTGTGTTTTTTATATTCTTTGGCTTAAAAATAATGAGGAATGTAAGGTAGCAATAATAATGTATTTTTAATCCATAGTGTGTTTTTATTTACTTTTTGCTCATCTATTTAAATGCAATATATTTTAATATACTTAATTAAAAAAATTTTATTTAGTTATATCATTCCAGAAGAAGGAGATATTTTGAAGTTTAACTCCAAATTTGAATCTGGGAATCTGCGTAAAGTAATTCAAATTAGAAAGTAAGTTACTTAAGATTTTCTCATTTTGTGTGTGCATAGTTATTTTCCTTATCTTCATCAGGTTTCTTTATCTTCTATTTTCAGAAATGAATATGATCTTATTCTGAACTCAGATATCAACAGCAATCATTATCATCAGTGGTTTTACTTTGAAGTCAGTGGAATGCGGCCAGGTGTTGCTTACAGGTTTAACATCATTAACTGTGAAAAGTCCAACAGTCAATTTAATTATGGTAAGGCAATTTATTTTCCCAATTGAGAGGGCATGCAGGCATCTTAACTATAGAAAAGAAGTTTAAAAAAATTACCAATATTTTTTAATGTTTCAGTGTATTCTTTTGTTTTCCCTAATTCTCAAAATTCAGATATTTATTGTGCAACATTTGAAATAGGTTATGCTTTGATTTGTTGGTGAAATAGTTACTTTTGTATAGGCAAGCCCTTTAAAATTTAGTGGGTATGGTTGATTTCATCCAAGTTGAATTCAATTAAAGGTTCATTATGCATGTTCCAGTGGCTCCATCTGATTGTGTGATTTTTCTTCTTTAGCCTGTTAATATGGCATATTACACTGGTTGATCTTTAGAATATTGAACCAGCCTTTTTTATTTGTGGAATAAACTCCACTTGGTCTTTGTGTATAATATCTAGTATTTTGTTAACAATTTTAATATTTATACTCAGGAGGGATATTGGTCTATAGTTTTTAATTTTTTCCTGCTATATCCGATTTTGATATTATGGTAATAGTGATCTCTCAAAATGAATTGAGAAATGTTCCCTCTTATTTTCTAGAAGCACTTGTGTAGAATTGATGTTAATTCTTAAATGTTTGATAGAATTCTCCAGTGAAACCATCTGAATCTGGAGATTTTCTTTTTAAGTAGTTTTTTAAACTGGAAATTTAATTTCTTCAATAGTTTTAGGGCTATTCAGATGATCTGTTTCATCTTGAGTGAATTGTGGTACTTTTTGCTTTTTAGGACTTGGTCCATTTTTTCTAAGTTGTCAAATGTATGTATGGAGTTGTTTGTAGTGTTTTTACTATCTTTTTGATGTCTGCAGGGTCTGTAGTGATACCCTCTATTTCTGTGGTCCCCCACCTCCAGGCTATAGACCAGTAATGGTCTGTGGCCTGTTAGGAAGCGAGCTATATAGCAGGAGGTGAGCGGTGGGGGAGTGAGCAAAGGTTCATCTGTATTTATAGCCGCTCCCCATCACTGCATGTCACTTCCTGTCAGATCAGCAGCAGTATTAGATTCTCTTAGGAGCGTGAACCCTGCTGTAAACTGTACAAGTGAGGGATCTAGGTTGCGTGCTCCTTATAAGAACCTAATACCCAATTATCTGAGGTGGAGCTGAAGCAGTGATGCTAGTGCTGGGGAGTGGCTGCAAATACAGATTATTATTAGAGAGGTTTGATTGCGCAGTAAATGTAATGTGCTTGAATCATCCCCAAACCATCCTGCCCCAAACGCCACCACAGGCCATGGAAAAGCTGTCTTCCATGAAACACCCTAACCCTAACCCTAATTGCTTGAATCATCCCCAAACCATCCTGCCCCAAACGCCACCACAGGCCATGGAAAAGCTGTCTTCCATGAAACCGGTCCCTGGTACCAAAAAGGTTGGGGACTGCTGCTCTATTTCATTCCTACTGATGATAATTTCTATCTTCTCTTTTTTGTCAGTCTAGCGAGAGGTTTATGCATTTTACTGACATTTTTAAAGAAGCAACATTTTGTCTCATTGGTTCTCTGTACTGTTTTTCTCATGAGACAATGAAAAAAAATCTATGGTGTTGTATTAGCAAAAATCTTAAAAATATAGTCTCATTTAAGGTTTTTGTGTTTAGTACTTTAATAAATACAAAACTAAGGGGTATTGTCATACGCTTGGTAGTCAGACATTATGTCTGTGGAAGGTAATATAATTGTATGAACTTCATATCAGCATTTTAAAATTGAAATATCAAATTTTAAGTATTTAATATGATAATGGCAAATTTTTTGTGTAAAAGAAAATTTTTTTCTGGCATACAAAAAAAACTTACCTTGAGGGTGGAGGAGAAACATTATGTATTACAAGTTATAAAATCTCAGAGGTCTCAATCATTTGTTGTAAAGATTGAAAAGCTTTTAATAACTGAGACATGAGATACTATATGATCTGTTTCATATAAATCCTCTGAGTTGCTAAAACCATGAATATAATGATGCTCTTTAAGGGGACATTTCTGAAAATTAAAACTTTCAATAGTTGAAGAAGTTGTTCCCAATCATCACATTTATGTGGGAAATAGGAAATCATATCCTTTAGAATTACTTCAGATGTATGGGATAAAAGCTTTAGTCAGTTTCATTTATTTAATGTAATAATTATAGGAAGATTAGGGAGCCTAATGTCCAGTTTGTTTTTAAACACTTTTCACAGATTTTAAAATGTTTTAAGTAATTTAATTTTTAAATATTTTATTCTTTTAAATGTGTATATTTTGACTAAAGCTTCAGTGAGTATATCGGTTTATATTAACAGTGATATGAATATTCTTGATATAGTCTATTTCACACTCTTTTTTTTTTTGAAGTCACAGAGTATCACATTCTTTATTTTTGTGATTTTAATGTATAGCTACTAATTATTGAGTATGATATTTCTTAGGAACATTTGTTGACCCTGGCTTTCATATACAGTAACTTTAAAAATTACCTTAATAAAAACTCAAAGTATTATCAAAATAAGTAAAGAAATCTAGTGATCTCCGCATTTAACTTAGTATGTATGATGCTAACACAATATTTTTAGAGGAGAACAATTTATTAGATGTAATTTTATTTGTATTTTGGGTGCTCCTTAAGAGTAGAATATAAAGGCATATTTATTCCTGATATGATAGTCAATATAATTTTCAAATAGTGCTACAAGTAGATGGCATTTTTATTAACTATATTTATTTATTTACTTAAAAATAGTACTTTTAACACTTTAAACTTCATTAAATATTTTAAAATTTTAAATTAACAGCATACATTTTGAACCAGTGCTGCTTCATTTTTAAAAAAACTTATACCTCCATGTGATAGATAAAATAATCTCTTTCTTTAGTGTCATTTGAAATTTTAAAATGAGTAAAATTCTGTAATTAAAACTAAATCAAAGCAATGGAACAGATGGCTGCTTTATTTTAAATTTCCTCTCCTCCTTCCCCCTTCTCCTTTGGATATTTTTATATATATATCACACTTTCTAAACTCAATTTGTAGAGAATTTGGAAAACGGAATGGTGTTAGGAAGAAAATAAAACCATTGACAATGCATTATCCAGAGATAATGACTTTAACATTTGTTGCTTCTTATATAGCCTTTTTTATAATGCAGTGTATGATTTCTATATATACATAATTATGTATTTATTTTATAGCCTTACATAGCCTTTTTTATAATGTAGTATGTGATTTCTACATATACGTGCTTATGTATTTATTTTTTAGAATTACAGCTCATTAACTCATGCAGTTTCATATTCTGTATTTTAGTCAAATATTGTCAGCATTTTTCTGGTCATTAAGTATTCCTCTGAAACAAAGTTTTAATGACATCCTATAGAGGTACTGTAATTTATCCAAACCTTTCTTTGTTAGACATTTAAGTTTTCAAATTATTTTCTATTTTAGATATTGCCGAGATAAACATTATTATACTAAAATATTTGTGTTATATAACTATTTATTTTATAAATTCATGGAAGTGGAATATCTATATGCCAGGTATAAATGCAATATAAAACAATAGATATTTCATATGGGAAATTCAGTGAATTGAAAACAGTTTAGAGAAAAAACTCTAGGAAAGAAGGAGAATATCCAGAAAACCATTGTTTAATATTTTGTTATCTATCCTTAAACTTATTCACATTTACATAATTTTAAAATTAAATTTTATTCTTTTACAGATTTGGGATTACAGTATAAAAACTCATGTGTAATATCACTTTTTTTTATAACAATAATTTGTAAAAAAAAAAAAAAAAATTCCATGCCATCAAATTGTATTTGGCAACATCATTAGTAATGTCTATGTAATATTCCACTGATAAATTATTCCACAATAAATTATTTAAATGGATTGATGAAGATTTAAGTCTTTTTCAACATTTCAAAATTATAAGCTGTCTTGCAGTAGATATCCTTAATTATTTGTTTTTGTGTACGTTTCTAATCATTGCTTTGCCATGAATTCCTAGAAGTAGAATTTCTCAAAGAAAATGAACATATGTTGCTGAAGACTAGGGAAAATGGGTACTATAGTGCTGGTAGAAGTATTAAATTAGTTTAGCCTTTTTGAAGTGCATTTGATAGTTATGTTTTCAGTGTTTATATTTAACATCATCCATCCAGATTTATTTTGGTATTTTCTGTGAATTGGGATTTAACTTAATCCTATTCTTAGTAGTTAAGTAGCTACAACTGAATTCATTTTCTCCAAAGAGAGTTTTAAAATGTCATTGATGAATTTATTGGGTTCTTAGTCAAACATTTCACATTTACAGTTCATTTGCAACTGTATACCTGATGCACTAGGAAAACAAGGATGGGAAACAAGGCTCAGAAGCCATTATACATCATCGCTCTGTTTTGGCTGTTACAGAAAATGGTCAGGTTAGTAAAAACAGATTAGGACCTGATTGATAAGGTATCACCATAACTTGCTTGTATTAATAATTCCTCACTTTTTGAGTTTGAGTTGCATTATTCTAACCTCTTAGTCATATTATATGTCCCTGTTGGTTTGAAATATCACAGTTCTCCCAAGCTATGGTCCTAACTGTGCACTACTAGTTTGGGGGCTGTTTGTTGCTCTACTATCAATTTGTTTTTTAATTATTTTGATTTTATAATATAGTGTAACATCTTGTAGTGTTTTTTTCAAAAACAATTAAAATTTTCTATTTTTTCTGAATAGCTTATTCTGAATATTATTCACAATAATTGTATCAATTACCAAAAATTTCCATTGCATTAAATCTATAGAATAGTTTGAGGGAGGGAAAATTTTTTATATTAAGTCTTACTACTTAGGAACATGTTGTGTTGTTTGATTTATTCAAGTTGTTTATGTCCTCACCTAAGTTTTTTAGTTTTCTTTTTGTGAGTTTCGTACATTTCTATTTGCTCTTTTTCTTAAGTTTTTAATGTATTTTTTGTTTATTATGAAGGAGTACTCGTCCTTATTT